GTTGACCTTGTAGGTAGCCACATCCTCTGACTGGGACCTCTGTCGAAACTGGGCAGGGGTCTCAAGCTTCCAATAGTTAAGGCATAGCAGGAACATCTTTGAGAGTTCAAACATCGTCTGCCGCTCCCGGGGAGCCAGGTGGCTAAACTTGTACTGCACAAAGTTCAGGACACCCTGAGAGGGGAGATGGAGCAAAACCAGAGGAGGCATGAGCAGCTGCAGGGCCTTTTCACACAGAGATGCTCCCTACCAGACACAGAGGCTCATGCTTATAATCCCAGTTCCATGGGAAGTGGAGATTGGGAGAAATGTGGTCCAAGATCAGATTGAGCAAAAATCAAACAGAAGCTGGACCCAGTGGTGTGCATGTGTCATCCAACTACACATGAAGCAAAAAAAAGAAGACAATCTCAGTCTATGATGGCTGGGGCAAAAATTCCAGACCCTATTCAAAAAGCCAGGTGCTGGCGGCTCACACCTATAATCCTAGTTACTCAGGAGGCTGAGATCTAAGGATCACAATTTGAAGTCAGTGTGAGTAGAAAAGTCTGTGAAACTCCCAATTAACCAGCAAAAATCTGGAAGTAGAGATGTGGCCCAAATGGTAGAGCTCAAGTTTTGATTAAAAAAAAAAAAAGCAAGAGAGCCAAATCCTGAATGCAAATTCCCAAAACAAAATAAAAAGAAAACCCTAGCCACTTGAGATGTGGCTCAAGCAATAAAGTACATGCCTAGCAAGTACTAAATCTTGAGTTAAATTCTACTAGTAAAAAAAAAAAAAAGACACCCCACATACTCTGGGACTCAGAATAGAAACTAAGCCCTGATCTACCGGCAAGTTATCAAAGAACATGTCCCTTCTCTGAACCTCTCCCCCACTCGCCTCTTGAAGACGATGGAGAACAAAGGTTCCCCACTCCTCCAAAACTCCCCCAGTTCTCCTCTTACCACCTTCCTGTCCCACCTGTTCAATGTTAGGCTTCTCAAATGGAGGGCTGCCCAGGGACCCTTCCACCACAGGCCGGGTCATCTGCAGGATGCATTTCCGCAGGAGCTGGAGGGAAGAGGAAGGGGGAGGAGTAGTGACTGACAACAGAGCTCAGAACTGAGGACCCCCTCCCCTCAACATTCAAAAGGCCTTCCCACATCCACTCCTAAACTCTCAGTCCCTGAAAGCTCACCTTGAAGAGGTAGAAATAGACCTGCTTGGTGTCTGTGTCCTCTTCCTTGTGAACAGACATGAACAGGTTCTCCACATCCACCACCATGCCCAGCAGCCGGTTAATTTCATCCTCTGACACATTCTCCAGGTGGGACACATGGTCAGCTGCAAGAAGAGTGGGGAAGAAAGGATGGAAGAGATCCACAGGATCTGTGTGCCAGGAGCTCAGGCCTGTAATCCTAAATCTGAGGGCTGAGGTTTGAAGCCAGCCTGAGCAGAAAAGTCCATGAGTCTTCTTATATCTAATTAACCAACAAAAAACCAGAAGTAGATGTGTGGCTCAAATAGTACAGTGCTAGCCTTGAACAAAAAGGCCAAATGAGAGCTTGAGGCCCTGAGTGGAGGAAGAAGAGGAAAAGAAGAAGAAATAATAATCTACAGGGCTTCCCGCACTTCTTGCCAGCCATCCCCAAATACATCCTCATTCCCTCCAACCCATGTGGACCAACAGGGCGAATGAATGATCCCATGCCGGCCCTGGCAGATGGCTCCTGCCTTTCACATATCCCAACCCAATCTTTTCTCAGAAGCATCTGATTTTTTTTCTGAGAGGCTTTATGGTAAAGTTATCCCCTCCAACAGGACCTTGCACCAACCCCTTTACAACCAGTTCCCAAGGCGCAGCCTGCCTTACCTAAAGGGTGCTCACAGCTGCGGCACAGCTCGCTCAGGTTGGCAGCTGGCTGTTGGAGGTCCATACGTGGTGCGGTGGGGGGCTTGGGATTTTTCCAGCCATTACACTTGCAGGTTTCATTGGCCTAGAGGAGGAAAGATCAGTCAATGGCACTGTATTTTTGGAGCCGGAGCCGCTCGAAGCGTCGCCCCGATTCCCACTCGAGCCCTCGGATGCCCCCAAGTCCCGCCCCTTTCGTCCCAGGCCCCGCCCCCACCTTGCAAGCCGAGAAGACCCCAAGCTTCTCGAGCTTCTTGGCACGCGGCAGTCCCCGGACTTGCGCCTTCCTCTGGCTAGCGCGCTGCTGCTGGCTCAAGCCAGGCCGAGCTGGATCGCCCCCGGCCCCAGTCCCCCCACTTCCTACCCCGGGGCCCCCAGCCCCTGTGCTCCCAGCCGGGGCTGCAGCTGGGGCGGGGGCTGGCGCCGGGGTGGGAGCCGGAGTGGAGGCAGAAGCCGGACTGGGCGAAGGAGTCGGAGTTGGGGCTGGGGCCGGAGACTGAAGGGGCCGGGGCTGCGCAGCTGGGGCAGGGGTCGAGGCCTGGGATGGTTCCGCCATGGCCTCCCCGCAGCGGAGCGGCACCGCGGTCCCAGCCCTAGGGCCGCATGGGCAACCGGCTCGCAGTGCGCAGGCGTCACCGCCCTGGTGCACGCTGGGAGTTGTAGTCTTGCCGCGCCGTGCCCCTCTGCCTCTGCCTTCCAGACTTTTCTGCTCTGTCGCTTGGTCCCAAGCAGCAACCCATTTGACTGCTTCTCACTTCTATCCTGAGGGCATCCGGAACAGTCGTGATTGCTATCCTTTGGGGGACACGGAACATCTCAGAACATAGGCATCTGTTTGGGGAGATTTGTGGATTTTGAAGCCCACCAAGGGAAATGGAAGCAGTCATTTTAGAGACCAGCCATGTTAAAATACGACCCTTATATCAGCTAATGTAAGCTGGTAAGGGGCGGGGAGGAGGGAGTGAGACAAATGCTGGACCCTCAATTTCAAACTTGGGTGGCCCTAGGTCAGTCCTATCCTGGGGTTCTCTTCTCGATCACAGCTCCAAGGCATATCCTACAGACTACCTGACATAGAATTTAGGACTTAGTTTAAATGTAGTTTAAATGTAGCAACTTAGTTTAAATTTTTGCTATGTGGTATCGACACGGGTGTTGGCTTTGTGATATTCAGCTAAATATTTTTGTGCACTTCTCTTTATTACGTAAGGATTTTTTTTCCCCTATGAAACCATTGAGCACAGGCATAGCTACGGCTGGGATAGTCACAAAGAAAGCTACCAAAGTGAGGACAGAGGGAGATAAAACCCAGCTTTCAGCTCTGTCTTCATCTTTGTGGTCTCCAAGCCCAGCCCTGGGGCCTACAGAACAGGAAGAGAATTCAAGATGCAGAAAGATACTTCTTTCCTCACATGTTAGCGCAGGATTATGCGTGGTCAGGGAAAGGCAGGGTGTTCTAAGCATAGATGACCAGCAAGACCCCTTGGAAGACTCCTTCTGTCTCTATCTAGGAAACAGTCCTCCTAGTCCCGGGCCTGGTTCATAGAGGGCAGGACAGCCTTCTTCCAGCCAGGTAACTCAATCTGATCTTGGCTGTGACCAAATCATCCATTTACATGCAGGTTGGGATCCTGCATGCTCAGTTGTATCCAGTTCCACCGCAACCCTGGACCCTCTGATGCTGGTGAAGGGCAAAGGGAGGAGCAGCGTCCAGGCAGCAGGACGACTGACAACTTGGCACCCGGACGTAGGACAAGCATGGTTAACCTGGAACACTGCCCAACGTTTGCCGGTGCTGAAGGAACTGGGTGGGCGGAGCTGAGCTCAGCTGAGTGGGCGGGGCTTGACCGAGATGGGCAGGACTAGGGCGGGGCGGGGCGGCCTCCCTCCCGCGCACCTGCCGGGGCAGCGAGCCTCGAGCCCTCACATAGCAGTTGCTCACTCGGATGCAGCGGGTCAGTGGCAGTTTCTCCAACGAGAGTCGGGTGGCGCCCCGGTTTTCTAATGCGGCAGTCACTGAACGAAATCAAGTGGCCACACTACCGGTGCGGGTGCTCAGGGACGAGGGACTAAATGTGCAGAACCGTGAACACAGCCAAGATGATTTCCAAGTGAAGATGGATGCCTTCGGCTTTGCCCCAGAGGAACTCGTGGTGCAGGTAGATGGCCAAAGCTTGGTGGTGACCGGCCAGCGACACCAGGAGGGCTCCGACCCTGCCAGAGGCAGTTACCGCCGAATGGAGCAGAAGGTGCACCGACAGATGTTACTCCCGCCTGACCTAGACCCGGCCGCCATGTCGTGCTGCCTGACCCCCTCAGGCCAGCTGTGGGTCCGTGGCCAGTGCAGGGCGCTGCCTCTGTCCCAAGCCCACACTGATCCATCCCTGAGGCCCAGGCGACAGGGCTCTAAGAAAAGTTCCACCTAACCTGACCTAGTAAACAACCACCGTGATGAGCAGACTAAGGGTCCTGTCTTTTCTGGTGTTGGGGTCAGATGCTGATGGTTAGAACCGCAGGTAGAGGAGCTCCTCACCCACCCCCCAAGTGGTGGTGGGCCAAGAATCAGGTCCTGGGTGAAACTGGAGAACCTGGGTGTCATCAGACCCCAGACCCAGACCTAGTGAAGGGACCTGAGACTTGGGGGTGGACCTGCAGGGGGAGGGAAGGAATGCAGTGGAGAAAAATGGTGCCAGGTGGCAAGGAAAGTGAGGTGCTGTAGCCCTGCTTTTTGAAGTTGTCAGTGTCCCTTCTTCAAGGAAGAGGATGAGAAGATTCACCCAACAGGCCTGGTGCACCCCCAGTGGTCATCTCAGAGATCTCCCACACATGAATTCTGTGTCCCCTAATGTAAGCTGATGAGGGCAGGGAGGTGGGGGAGAGAAAAATGCAGGACCCTCAGCTTCAAGCTTAGTTGGCCCCAGGTCAGTGCTGTCCCGATCCTACATACTCAGAGCTTTTTCTTGGTTACCATGACCACCAGCATCCCCTCAAATTGTGTGTATGGGGAGGGGGGCTGTGTTTAAGAACACTCTGGTTCATTTTAAATTAATTTCAATAAACTAGAGAGGACATTGATAAGCTGCTAGAGAAAGACGAAGACAAGTGTGAGATCGATCGATCGGCTGACTATATTGACAAGATACTGATTGGTTACATGTTGAAGAAAACATACAATACAAAATACAGAAAAAGTTGGTTCCATCCCTTCCCTCTTCCCCCCACCCTTGCCCACCCACCCCAAATACTCATCATCGTGATTTGGTCAGAACAGGGCTCAGAGCCAGAGGTCAGGGTGACCTAGGGTGGAGGGGTCAGGGGCAATGGGGATGTGGCTGTCATAATGATGCTGCGATACTGCTGCCATTTCTCTCCCAGCTTAGAGTAGAGCGGGGAGGGGGCTGCAGCCTGATGACAGCCAGTTGTGGGAAGAGCTACCTGTCCCTTCCCAGTCCAGGGCCTGCCCACTGCCCTGGACCAAGACCACTCCCAACAAGGTAAGGATGTGGGTGCTCTTGTGGAGTCTGCTCTCCAACAAGAGGGAAACAAGGGGGTAACTGCTTAACCCCCTGTCCCACAGACAAGGTGGGTACTACCAGCAAAGGAGAGTTGGAGAGCAGTAGAAAGGGGGGAAGTGGGAAGAGCAGAAGATCATATATATTAAAAAAGTGACTTAAGACTTAAAATTGAATTAGTATTTGTACAGAAAGGTGCAGGTGGAATAACTCCCTCCGGTCTAGGATCAAAGTTATGCGGAGAAATCATGGACCCCTCCCCTGCCCCCAGCTGTGGCCCGAGTCGTTGTTAAGTGCGATTGGTTAGAATGGATTCCAGTCGGGTCGTTCAGGCGGAGGAGTGGGGGCAGTGATAGGCAAGGGGGGGCTCAGTTGCTGCAGCACTGGCTCCTGCTGGCTGGGTTGTTCTCCTGGAGGTCCACGCCTCGGTTTCGGCCTGGAGCACCAGCTGCATTCTGAGGCTCATTCTTGGGAAGCTTCTTAGCTGTTTGGGAGACAAGAGGAAAATGCTTCAGTGGGGCTACCCCAATACGCTCTCCCAACTGCACCTTTACCACCATCCTACTCCATCGGTGACAGGGCTTTCCATGCAGCAAGTGTACTGTGAGTGTCTTGGAAAAAGGAGGCAAAGAGATTTTAAAGAACTTTCCCCAGGGTCAGGATTGTAGTGAATGCCCATAATCCCAGCACTTGGGATGTTGAGGCAGAGTTAAAGGCTTTTCTTGCTATATATTCAAATCTTGTCTCAAAAACACAAAAAACAAAAAGAAACAACTTTCCCAAGACCACAGAGCTAATAAGTGGTAGGATAACTCTAGAGTCAAGTGACCCAAAACTAAGAAAGGGTAAAGGCAGATTTTAAAATGGGCACAAGCTAAAGGTCAGGGAGTAAAAAAGGTTGAAATTCAGGCTTTAGAAACTTACGAGGTGCACTACTAAGGTGGTAAAAGATATGTTGGTGGAGAAACACCCCAACCACAACCCATTAGAGAACAGCACACAAGAAATAAGCCCTTGGAAGTGATGGGATGGGGGAAGAGAAAAAAGTTACCTATTGCCATGAAAATTTCATTCACATTCATTGCAGTCTTTGCCGAAGTCTCCATGAACAGCAAACTGTTGTCATCTGCATAGGCTTGTGCTTCCTGATTCATTGGAAGTGAGAGAGAAAGGGCAGGAAGAAAATGTTAGCAGTTGACAGGGGCTAAGGCCCAGGATAAAAGCATGTCCTTATATATAATAGAGCTTGACTGGACAAAGGCCAAGGGTTTTCAGTCCTATGGTTTCCTTGTTCCGAGTTCCCTTAAAACATCTCAACCCCAGGTCTCCCCATTCACATCATATGTCTCAGCTCATGAATATCAGCAGATGTTTGTTTTTATCCATTCAGACTTTCCTAGGTCCACCTTGCCTTCTTATTGTTCAAAAGAACTAAGCTGGGAAATACTAGAAAGTTATACTAAAAATAAACTCACATTTGGACAAAAGTATAAACATTTCTATTCTTCAGTTATTACAATTTGGAAGTCACCAGTTAGGGACTGGTCAAAAAGAATACTCAGTATGAATGGGGTATGCCCATCTATGAGAAGAGAGGGATTCACAAGTACATGTGCACTTCTGTAAAGATAAGCAGCGGAGGAAGGGGAGGCTAGAGGAAGGAAAGGTTGAGACTTAAAATTTACTTTCCATGTTTTCTTGCATGATGCATTTCTACTATGTACATGAGTTATATGAAGGAAAAAAATCCTGTACTTTTCTAATACAAGACAAAAACACAAACTTCATGTATCATACACATATTGCCCTATCCTCCCCACGCTCCTCTTGGACCCATGCATGAGTCACAAGTAGACAGCAAATGAAAGGTGCCTGTTGTCCTGCACTTGGCCCTTTCCACAGTCCCTAAGCATCTTGTGGAGGCCTCATGCAGCTGCTTGCTCATTGCCAAGTATTGTCACTCCCTACCTGGAATTCCACAGCTCTCTTGTTGGCCAAGTCTGCCTTATTACCCGCGAGTGCAATGACGATGTTGGGGCTGGCCTGCCTCTGTAACTCCTTCACCCAGTTCTTGGCCCGTGCAAAAGTATCCTGAGGAGAAAGGGCCAGAATGTCAGAGACACAGGACAGTGACAGTGAAGCTCAAATGGTCTTAGTTAAGGTATCTGAGATGTCATCCTTAAAAATTCTAGTCGGGACTGAGAATGTGACTTAGTGGTAGAGTGCTTGCCTAGAATGCATGAAGCCCTGGGTTTGATTCCTCAGTAGCACATACACAGAGGCCAGAAGTGGTGCTATGGTTCAAGTGGTAGAGTGCTAGCCTTGAGCAAAAGAAGCTCAGGGACAGTGCCCAGGCCTTGAGTTCAAGCCCCAGGACAAACAAAAAACAAAAAAACAATTCTGGTTGGCAGAGGAAAACTGACTATACTCCAACCAAGAACCCCAAAAACAGAGGATTGAGAGGCCTGAAATGGGGGATTTTATAACTCAAAGATGAAGGGCAAAGAAAGAAGGGAAAATCTTTACTGTGTTGGTGATGTCATAGACCACGATGGCAGCTTGGGCCCCCCGATAGTACATGGGGGCCAGACTGTGATACCGCTCCTGTCCAGCTGTGTCCCAGATCTCAAACTTGACTGTTGTATCATCTAAGCAGACAGTCTGTGTGAGGAAGGCCGCTGTAAGAGAGAAAGTGGTGTCACCAGGTAAGTTATAGGCCACCCCTACATATTTTCAGTTGCTTCTAGCCTCTGGCACTCAGAAATCTGCCAAAGAGATGGGCACACAAAAGTCCATGACCCAGGAGCCACAGCAGGCCTGATCATGGCACACGGGGCCATGGGTGTGGGTCCGGGGACGATGGGGACCCCATGGACTGCCAATGTGGCCAGGGGAGGCCATTCTCTAAAGAATGCAGCAAAGGGCAGGAAAGGGAAGATCCAAGGAAGACCTCATACCAAGGACAGAGGGCAAGGCCCCCAGCATTCCTCCTTACCCTCCTCCTCCCACCCTTCTGTGGTCCTACTCCAGACTAGAGGTGCTGATTTCACACACACACACACACACTCACTCACTCACTCACGGGCTTAGCTTTGCCAGGGAAGTCCACTTTGTTCCACTGCCAGGCTAAAGCTGGATAGCCAGCTTCTCCATCACCCCTGCCACCTACAGAGCTCCAGCTAGCCCCACCCCCTGCTGCCCCACAGGCAGTTCTACACTACCACCCCTCAATAGCTGGATCCCAGAGACCCTGTGTGAGACAAGGGGACACAGGCACAGATGCATATATGCTCCAAAGGAGGGGTCTCAGAGCCGAGGCAGGCAGGCAGGAAGAGTCCCTCTGCCTGCACCAGCACCGGGCATCAGACAGCTCTGTAGAAAGCTGCTTTCCTTGTCTGCTCTTCCCACCTACTGAGCAGCCAGGGGCACCATTCCACTTCCCCCTCTCAGGCTTCTGACCCAAGTGCTGAAGAGGCAGCAGGAAGACTGCTGAGGCAGCCTGTTTTTTGCTTCCAGCTGCCTAGAAACCTCCTCCTACCAACCAAGGGAGTAAAGAAGGGATGACTCAAGTCCAAGGTTAGCCCTGGCCTCTTGAGGTTTCATTGGCCACTGAGGCAAAAGGCTGAGTCCAGACCCTTTCTCATATCCTAAATGCTGATCAATAGGGAATCAACAGCATGCTCTGAGCTCCAGGAATGGGTAATGGTCAGACTCAGAAATGCCAACCCGGGCTGGGAATGTGGCTTAGCACATTGCCTAACATGCATGAAAGCCCCGGGTTCTGTTTCTCAGTACCACATAAACGGAAAAGGCTGGAAGTGGTGCTGTAGCTCAAGTGATAGAATGCTAACCTTGAGTAAAAAGCAGCTCACAGATAGTGCTCAGGCCCTGAGTTCAAGCCCCAGGACTGGCCAAAAAAAAAAAAAAAAAGCCATCAGCCAGCTATGAGTCACCAGGCCATCCCCACTTTGGAAAGCAGGAGAAGCCAGGGCATATGCATTGCCCCACACAGTGAGAAGGACCTCAGTGATCCAGAGCCAGCCTCTCCCTGTCTTGAGACTGGATCAACGGGAGAGGTCCAGCCAAGGCCACGCAAATAAGAGGCTGAACCGTGGCAAGAAGCCAGTTTGTACTTCCCAGCTAACTCCTATGAGCTTGTCTCAACTAACACGGAGACAAGCTGCTGGGTTTGAGGAACAGGTATGATACCCCAGATGGATTTAGTCTCTGTGATGAGGCAGCTCTCCTGTCCTTAATGTCAAGGCATCTCTTTAGCCCTCCTGATCCCATGTGCCCACTTACCTCCAATTGTGCTCTCCTGGTACTCGTGGAATTGGCCCTTGACGAAACGGAGGACGAGGCTGGACTTGCCTACTGCAGACTCCCCCAGAAGTACCAGCTTAAACTGACAGATCTTGTTCCCAGCCGCTGGTCCATTGGGTCGCGCTGTGCCTCCCCGACCCGCCATGGCCCGCTGCACTATAGTGGTACCAGTGAGTGTGGGGGCGGGTACTATACAAAGAGGCACTTAATGGGGAGGGGGCCTCCAACTGCAAGACAGAAGTAAGAAAGAGGAAGTTAGTTTTGGGACTGTCACAGGAGGCCCTTCCTAAACCACAGGTCACCCCTCTGCCCTCCCTGATGACCTGGCTGACACCCCAGGCTGGAGCCCTCACTAGGCTACATACCTCCTTGCTCTACACAGTACAGACAGAAGTGGCCTCTCAACTTTAGAATCATGGTTCTGAGCCAATACTCTGACTTCCCAATCTTGAATATACACATTCACTTACAGATAAATAGGACAGGAATGGATATATTGTAGACTGCTAAGTCCATGAGCTCCCCAACAAAAAGCAGGTCCAGGAAGACACTAGGGTTTAGGTCAACAAACAAAGAGCTTATAGTATTGTACTAAGACTACAGCCTGATCTGGGCAGAGCCAGAGTGTGGGGGGAAGGTAGGTAAGGGAACAGGGAGTCCTGACAGCTCCTCAGATAAGGGGCTTGTGGGTATTCAGGGACCAGGGCCTGGCCAGAGCAAGCAGTTAATAAAATGGCCATGCTCCTGCCACCTCTTTCTTGATCTGAGCTGACCGTGTACCACTGTGTGTAGGAATCACAGTAATGTTCCAATCACTCATCCCAGCCTCCGTCTCTAGGCCTCTCATTCTGGATGGGCCAGAAGTCTCACACACATTAAAAAACAAAACACACACTCAAGCCAGAGCTCTGCTGGTAGTTAGACTGGCTGCCAATTTTCCCTTTTAAATAGAGACCTTGGTTCCTTTACTGGCAGAGGCAGGGGGGTGACACAGAAAAAGAGTGAGGGAGCAGTATGGGGAGGAATGGAGGCAAACATGGGGTACTAAGGCCAGCACCCCCAACAGCTGTGCTTCAATCCCAGCTTCTCAGTCTCTCAGCAAGTGAAAGCTTCAGAGGTTCAAGGTTTTTGTTTTGTTTTCTGGTGGCTGTACTAAGGTTTGAACTTAGGGCCTGAGGTTTTTTGTGCTCAGCACTCTGCCACTTTGAGAAACTGTTCCACATCTGACTTTTTTTGTTTTTGTTTTTTTTGGGGGCGAGTTAATAGAGGTAAGAGTCTCATGGATGTTCTTTCCTGGACTGGCTTTGAGCTGCAATCCTTAGATCTCAGCCTCCTGATTATAGGCGTGAGCCACAGGTGCTCAGTAGCTCAAGCTTTTTGTAAAACTTTGGAATTGCTATAACTGTAGGTGGTTATCTCCGGAAGCCTCTAGAAGACTTACACCAAAAGGTATCAGAACAGGGCTGGGAAGGGGGCTCAGTGGTAGAGCGCTTGCCTTGCATGCCTGAGGCCCTGGGTTCGATTCCTCAGCACTACATAAGCAAAAAGAAAAAAAAGCCGGAAGTGGTGTTGTGGCTCAGTGGTAGAGCGCTAGCCTTGAGCTGAAGAGCTGAGGGACAGCGCCCAGGCCCAGAGTTCAGGCCCCACGACCAGACCAAAAAACAAAAAAACAAAAGGTATCAGAACATACACAGAACAGCATGTTTTTCAAATGAGTACTCCAAGTTGGTATTAGATTAGAATATACGGGGTGCTGGTGGCTCACACCTGTAATTCTAGCTACTCAGGATGCTGAGATCTAAGGATCACAGTTCAAAGCCAGTCCAAGCAGAAAAGCCCATGAGACTCTTATTTCCAATCAACTACCAAAAAAGCCAGAAGTGGAGCTGTTGTTCAAGTGGTAGAGCATTATAGCCTTAAGCACAAAAGCTCAGAGATAGCCCCCAGACCCTGAGTTCAAGCCTGAAAACTGGCACACACACCCACAAGACCTGAAGATTCTAATCAATATTTGGATTTAAGATGGGAAAAGACAATCATTGTACTTAGTAGACATTAGGTGGAAAATGACCTGTGTAACTTGTGTGCAGAGAGGGGATGGGAAAACTGTGGGAAAGTGAAGGAAGGGGTGTTATTGTCCGAAAAAAAGAAATGTACTCATTACCTGACTTATGAAATGGTAACCCTCTGTAGAACATCTTAATAGTAACAATAAAGTTATACTTTAAAAAAAGATAGGAAGAAGCTGTTAATTAGATTGCCTTTGTATAAGTCTATACAGGAGGTGTCTTCCACAGAGACCCCAGGGAGACCCAGGCTCTGCCCCTGAGCAAGAGGAATGCCTTCTTTTACAGCCAAGGGACAGGGGAGTGAAAGGACAGGGAGGTGTCTGGGCCTATGCAAGATGCTGACAGCAAAGGGCCTGCTCTATTCAGCCTCAGATCCTTTTCACATCCAAGTTCTCCCAGCAACTCATTTAATAACTGAGCTTCAGGAAGAATGATTCACAACCAGGAACAAGGGTTTCCTTTCTGGACAGTACCAAAGGAAAAGAGCTTTGAAATGAGGGCCACCTCTTCCCCAAAAGCACAAGGAGGAAGGAAGAATGGCGGTACGTGTGAGTGTATGTGTGTCAGTAGCAAGAAATGCTGTTTAAATATATCATAGTTAAGGTGCTTTCTCATTCTATCCCAGGCAAGGAAGAGACAGGCCAGAGCTTCAGGCTTCATCAGAGGCCTTCCTCACAACGCCTATGCATATCTTAGAACTCAAGAGTGGTTGTTAAAGAAAACAATTTTCAAAAACTGTTAACGTTTACTGAGTGATAGCATAACCAGTATCTCCTGTAAGCTTTTTATCAACCCCCTCCCCACCCAATTTTTACAGACAATAACTTGGCCCTCAGGTATTAAATGCCCAGTTCAAGGCCATACAGCATACAAGTGACACAGCTAGGATGAAAACTTGGGTTCCTGTAAGCTGAGCAAAAGTTATCCCCTCCCACCCCCCGCTGGGGAAAACAATGAAGGCAATGCACACCCTCTGTGTTTGGTTTTGAGTAGCTGCAGCACCATTGCTGGTATGGCAAGGTCTGGTTCTGGTGACAGTCACAGTGATCTTGCAGTCCCCATACTCCCAAAAGCAGAAGAAGCCACTCAGGGCCAGGCAGGGCTAAGGCCACAGAGGGAAGACTAGAATGGAATTACAAGTTAGTTATTACTGTGAGTACATGTGACGCATAATCTTAGCTAGGAATTGAATGTGGCTGGGACACTAGAGGAACTATAAACCAGTGAGGGTGAGGGGGACAGAAAAGCAAGTCCCTGATTCCAAAAAAGCAAAGCAGCTGGATTTAGGGAAGAGAGCTACTAGCCTGGGCAGCAACCAACATCTACTGAAAAAACCAGCACATCTGAATCTTGTTCCTACCTAGTAAGTGGGTTTCCAAACCTGTGCAGACAAAATGAGTTTAAAAAAAAAAAAAAAGCCCAAGAGGAGACAAGTACACTGGTTCTTGTTTGTGCATCAGCTGTCTGAGAGCCCTTACAGGTTTACAGCAGGGTCGGCTAGCTGCCACTGAAGCACAGCCAGGACTAGTGTGGCTGGCATGAAGCAAATGAGCACCCAGCTTTGGGCACCACTTTGGGCATCCTGTTTCTGAGTCACCTTATAGAAGCCACCTGAGCTGAGTCTGTCTCACTAGTGCTATTAGTGATGGGGTGTGCCAGTGGTCATGACAGTGTTGAGCAAACAGCAGTTAACAGTATTGATATTGTTGCTCATAATGCCTTCGCAAAGGCTACTGGTGAACAGACTTTGGCATCACCAGTTAACTGCTCTAGCTGGATGGTTCAAACTGGCTATTGGCATGTTCTGCCTGATAACTGGTCCTGCCTTCCACCTGAGCAGGCAGACGCAGCACTTTTTATGGTCTGCTGCCTCGTGGTTTTCCTGGCTCTCTTCAGTGATCACATGAGCAGTGTCCAACCTTTCCAGACAATAAAGCACTGAAGAAGGTAATTTTTACCATGAAGGACACCCAGAATATGAGGATGTCTAAGTCTCAGAGCCCAGAAAGCCTTATAGCTGTCCCTCCAAGGATTGGGAAATCAAAGATATACCTTTGGCAGGTGGTAAAGGTGAATGGATTCATGTCTGAGCTATCCTGCGTCCTGAGGGGAGGAATCTTTCCTCTTGAACAGTAGCAAAAATTATCTTCTATAGATCAAGTGATGTGACTGTAATTTTTTAAAAAAGATAAGCTGGGTACTGGTGTCTCATGCCTAATTCTAGCTACTTAGGAGGCTGAGATCAAAGCCAGCTGGGGCAGGAAAGTCCTTGAGACTCTCACCTCCCAATAAACTACTCAGAAAAAGCCAGAAGTGGCACTGTGGCTCAAGTGGTAGAACAATAGCCTTGAGCAAAAGAAGCTCACAGACAGTGCCTAGGACCTAAGTTCAAGCCCCAATATTGGCACAGGGAAAAAGAAAAACGAAAGATAGTCTTAGGGTTAAAAATCAAATTCTTAAGAATCCAAAGCTGCCTACAGACAGAGACTAGACCAAAAAACACCCCTTCCCTGCCCCAAGTTGCCACTCAGTGTTAGCTTCAAGCCCAAGAAGACAAATCAGAGACCACCAAAAATGGGCCATGTCTTCCACAGCAAAGGGTAGAAGGTGCAAAGATTCAGGCCATCCTAGTCAAAGTGACTTTTCCTATAATGCACACAAAAGGAAAAGGGCACTGAGATCTAAGCTGCTAAACACTCCTCTGTGCGCAAGCACTTTGGGGGCCAAGAGTAGACAAGAGAGAAAGAAAAAGTAGGACACTGTTCCTTCCTCTGGCCACTCCATGAGTTTCTTGAACTCCAGCCACTCCAAGGCAGTGCGTCTTAAACTATTTTCATCAGAATCACCAGCATAGGATTAGGTCTTTGAGGTCCTTTTAAGCTCCTTGGTTAACAAGTCAAAGCTGGTAAACTAGCCTTTAGTGTAGCAAACCTGTCACTTATTGGGCCTTTAAACTCCATTAGGAAATAACCCTGATCAACTAATCTTAGAATTTCTAAAGGTGGAGTCCAGAACTCAATGTTCTTTAAAAAAAAAAAAAAAAGGTTCCCCTACGTGTTTTTAAGTAGCTGATTTAAGCATGTGAGTTGCAATTGATAAAGAGCCAAGAGTGAAAAACAGAAAGGCACTCTCTGATTCTTGCTGTGGATAATACAGGT